TGTTCTGGGCGGGTTTGTTCGCCCATATCGTGCCCAGGCAACCTGCCTGGCCTTGCAAGTTACTTGGGGCGAGTGACAGGGCGCCCGGTTGCTCTGCCTCCGGATCTCGTTCCGCAGTCTTGCGGGACAACGTTCGGAGGCAGAGGTAGATCACCATCCTGGCCAGCCAAAGAGATGCTTGCCCCCGTGATGGCTGCCGCCAAAGCGGCAGGGTTTTGGTCAGGGTTTTGATCCGAAAAGGCTCACCGCAATCGAAGCAAAAACTTATTTTTTTCGGGAGCTTCCCCCGAGCTAATAAAATAAGTTTTTGCTTTCGCTTTGCTCTCCTTTTTGTCGCCGAAAGTGTGGAGCTGTTCTGGGCGGGTTTGTTCGCCCAAATCGTGCCCAGGCAACCTGCCTTATGACGGGCCCGCCTGGATGGGACCCAATCTGAAATTATCTCCGATTTTTTTAAGATTTTTTTTTTTGAAAAAAATTTTTGCCTCGGTAAAATGCTGCAACGCCGCCTCCGTCTCCTGACTAAGTTTGCGAATGTCAATCCATCATCGCATTCTGCTGTTTCTTCCTTACATTTGAATCGAGAGAAAACGTGTATAGTAGCTGTATTCTTTGCATGAGGTGAAAGTGTATAGATCGCATAGATGCTCTACCTACCTTGTGTTCTGTTTTTTTACCACGATGGGATGCGTCGGTTGTTTTTTTATGTTGAGCTGAGAGATAGTTTAAGTAGAAACACACAATCCCACTTAAGCGCCTCTAGCGACTGTATTTAGCTACTGAAAAACTAAAGTTGTTGTCAGTCGCCGCACAACCGCATCACGGCGCGAAAGCCCGTCGCTGATTTCGCCGATGTCCGCGCACCGTCTGATCGCTATCCAAGTCTCCTCCTTCGCCCGTTATTCCACCGCTTTTCCACCGCTGAATCTTGACGAGGCTCCGATATCCCGCAGACACCGACGCTTCGCGATCCGCACCGCAAATTCGCTGATTGTGATACGCGGAAGAGCAGGGGCTTGGCGATCCTCGTATTAGTAGGCGGGACGCCAAGCAATGAAACAAAAACGCAAAGACCGCTGACGTCGAGCCATTCTTTTTCTACATCTCTTTCCTCACACTTCTATTCTTGATCTCAGTCTTTTCGTCGCTGTAAACTTAAAGGAAGTCATCACTGTATAATTAGGCGCGGCTGTTTGTATGATTAAGTAATAAATTTTGAAAAGATCTTCACATACGCAGTATGTTTGGGATGCGATCTGTATTTGTATGCCGCCCAGCGAGGCGGCGAATTTATGAATTTTGCGAAGGAACTTTTGGCGCATTTTGTATGATCTAGTTGTCGCCGTGAGCGATGTGATTTGTGGTGGGGAAAAGTGATGTCTTTGGTACCTTTACGAACTCTTTCTTTCGCCGCAGGATCTTACTCTTTCTTCCGCAGCATCGCAGTGATAGCAGACCGCGAACTACGCCAGCACTTCAGCAGCTAAATACAAGTCGCAAATCTAGTCGTGTTTTGTTACAGGTATAGACGGTTAATATCTGTCGGCGCGCGCATGATGATTGTGATCACAGGTCGACATGGAGCTCTGCGAAGAGCCTATGATTGGCAATGCGAACTTCTCATCTGAAATCGCCCCGGCAGTATAGCACTCAATGTTCTCACAGTATGAAACAGCGCTTTTTTTCACATTCATATAAATTGCAGCCTGTGTCACGAAATCGCCATCATTATTGCGCGGAGCAGTCGAATTTGGCGTGAAGAACTAAACTTGTAATAGGTAGAAGTAATGTTGCAACTCAAGCTCCACCGCTTACGACAAAGGCTTTTCTTCTACTTGTATCACACTCACCGACGCCGCATCTATCGACATCTACCTCCATCGACCGAAATCGCAATGCTTTTTTCACCGACAAAGCAGCCTCCTACTGCTCTACTTCTTTCTGCCTAAGCTTTCCTATTCAAACCGACCGACACTTCTGCCACAGATTCCAGATATAGCCGCTTGCTTACCACCGCAGAACCGACGCCATGACTTCAGTTTCCTTTTCGTGCGAGCATCTTTGTCACCGGGATCACACCATGCTACGCTGAGCTTCGCTTCGTTTTAAAATAAAATTAAAATTTACATTTTGTGAAAACAGACGCAGCTTTTCCAGCTGGTCTGTTTTCAATATTGAAACATTATGTTTTGTTCAAACAACAGCTTACGCATCCCGTTTCAGAAGTGATTAATTATATTTTACTATATGAAATTTTTTTTCCCAACATGTATGTAGTGCTTTTAAATCACTTCTGTTTCCCGCTCCTTATTTACTGCGTGGTGCTGATATGTTGCCCTCCGCCGCGTGTAAGTCTGTTGGCGTGGTTCTCCTACCACCAGGCGTCAAAGTTTTCTTTACGAAAAAATTGAACATCCTACTAAAATCATAGAGTGCCCCGCACTAGATGATCTATAAGTATGCACTTTTACTTTATACTGTTTGTCATCTCGTGCAAAGCGGCAGAATTTGAAGTCTATTCATTTACTCAGACATAAAGTAGAAAGTACGCGGGAAAATAACCGTAAAAATTGCGATACTATTTTCGATAGTAAATCTTACAAGTATAATGATGTAAGTTTCCAATTTATTATATTAGTTCATTTAGTAGTCGCAGAATTTACATAGACGACACTAGGACAACTACTCCTCATCGTCCTGGTCATCATCCGCATTCGCCACCGGGGCCGGGGCAGCACCACCCGGGCGGTTCAAGTTCAACTGGATCCGGCGGCGCTGGGGCGGCGGTCCCATGTTGTTGACCGCGTTGGCGTTCAAGGCGGGATCACCGTTGGGGAGCTGGCGGGTGATTTCCATCCAGAGCGACTGCTTCGGCGACGGGTGCAAGAACGAGTACGGCAAGACCAACGCGTTGTACGCACCGACGGCCTCATTGTACATACCTGATAATGTTGTTTTTGGAATATGTACTTGTAACTTTTTGCATCTTAAATACGCACGTTCATGCGGACATCATTTGTGATGCAATTTTCACCAAACCGCATCAGTACTTGAGTCAAGATTATCAACAACAAAGCAGCAATATGTACCAGCCGCCAAGGCGGTGCGCGCCGGTCCCTCTTCGAAACTCTGCATGCTCTGCACGAGCGGGAGGATGAGCTCGTCGGTGTAGATGGTCAGCAGCGACGGGTACTCGGTGAACAAGCGGTTGCTCATGTCCTCGTTGTGCGTCAACATGTTCGCCGCCCGGTCCGCGTGGATGTTGGCGATCCCGTCCAAGTAGCACTGGATCATCGCCTTCATCATGTCAATCAACGACTTGAACTTGTGGCGGTTGGGCAACCGCTGGTGCATCTCCAGCTGATCGCGCAAGTCGGTCACGTTCTGAATCGCCGGACGGTGGGCCCAGTCACGCAAGGTCTCGCACACGCCGCCGATCGCGCGGAGGCGGCCCTCCAACGTGAACATCTCGTCCTTCGCCCGATTCTCATCGAGGGTGAGCAAGTACCGCCGGAACTTGCCGGTGTACGGGTTGACGAAGTTGCCCGGCATTTTGGTGAACGGAATCACCGTCATGCCAATGAGCGCGGTGTGCAAACCCTGCAGGGTGACCAGAACCGGATGGGGATGGTCGAGCGACATCCAGTTGATCAAGCGCGTCAAGTAGTCCTGAAACCACGGCTGTCCCTGTTATTGTAGATTATGTGTAGTTCGTGATGCATGTGCTACATACCGTAGCAGCACTACGTAGGCACCAAATAGATGTAGCAAAGCATCACTATCACCGATGGAAATAGATGTTACGAATGA